TAAAGAAATTTTAAATCCTAAAATGTTTTACTCATTTTTCATGTTTGTTGCAAAATTTTTCCGATTTTTTCATTTCTCAATTTGCTTTTTTGAAAAAACATGACATCAAATTCCATCGTTCCATAATGCATGTTTATACATATATATTCTAATGGAATTAATGTGTGCATATAAGTATAAATATAATATAAGTGCCCATTATTTTATAATTCTAATTAAAAATTATTTTAAAATCATTATCCATCTAATTTCATTATCTCAAATTTAGTATCATCTCAAAACATTTATAACAAAAACAAAACAATACAAATATACAGGGTGTCCCATAGGAAAATGCTGAAACTAATCAACTATCATTTTTAATGCATGTAGTTATTGAGAAAACAAATAATGTGTTGAGAAGAGGAAAGTTTACCGGTTTTAATGGATATAAATAAAATGTTTATATACCAATTTATTTTATTGATAAAAAGTAATGAAAAAAGTACTGATAATTATTTTAATAATTATTTTATCAATAAAGTAAACTGGTATACAAACATTTATTTATATCCATTAAAAACTACAGACTTTCCTCTTTCCAACACAATTTTTGTTTTCTCAATAACTGCATGCATTAAAAAGTGACAGCTGATTAATTTCAGCATTTTCTTATAATACACCCTGTATAATCAAGTCTTAATAAAGTACAGATATCATTTCATTTTAGTCGTCACATATTTTGACCATAATAATGCTTTCAAGAATCTTAAAGTTTATAGTAGGAACATAGTTTGCGACACACAGAACTCGAGCTGTTAGTCTCACTTGAATGTTAGCACAAGACACGTTCGAAGACAAAAAAATAAAAATCCCAATGAAAGATCCAGAAATACGGATATCCCAACAAATTATCGCGTTTTCTTAACTATATATAAATCTTTGCTGGAGGGATTAATTAAACGCATAAAAAAAGAAACTAATGCGATAATAATTGAAGTCCGCATTTTTCTTTTCACTTTGAGATATATATATATATATATATGTATATATATATATACGTATATGTAAATTACCTGTTGCGCTTTCTTCATGCGAGAGGCAGTTCGATTTTCTCGGGCCTGATTCAAATACGGAGCCTTTATCTCGTTCGGAAGAGTTCGCCACTTCTTCGTGATCTGCTTGTACCTGTCGGCCCACACTGCGCAAATTGAAAGCAACGTTTATGAAATCGATAGAATTAAGACCATTGAATGGAAAAAAGACACATAAGATAATCGACTTCAAAGTTTTTATTAGAGTATTACTTAATGCAATTTTAAAACCAATTTTTTTTTAAAGGTGTAGTAATTTATGTGTCCTTTTTCCATAAATGAGGTAAAATCATAAAAAAGTGATCTCTTTTTTATTTAATTAAATGTAATTAATTATTTAATTAAATAAAATTAATTTATACAACTTTTTTATCTATTGTTTAAAGATTAAAATAAAATAATGTAATATTATAATATATATGCACATATACATATATAATACAATATTGTTACATTAGAGAAGTAAATATGTCCTTTGTATAGTATATACAGGGTGTTCCATAATTCGCGAATCACCTTTCATGGGCAGATAGAGCGTGTTAAACTGAATAGAAAATTCATGTATCATTTTGCGATATTCGCAATAATTATTGAGTTATTTATTAAAATATCTAAACGAATAAGCAGGTAGAAAGCATTATTTGATCGAGAGGCGGCGTCATGCAGCGAGCGGCGACCAATGTAGTGGCGCCGAAAAGTAAGATGATACTTTTGATACTAAGCGGCATATAACAAATAAGTCATCCGACATGCACACCGAGTCCGGCCTACCGCTTTCTACCCGCTCATTCATTTAGATATTTTAGTTAATAACTCAATAATTATTGCAAATATCACAAAATAATACAGAACTTTTCTATTCAGTTTAACACGTTCTATTTGCCCATGAAAGGTGATTGGCGAATTACGGGGCACCCTGTATAAAAATATATCTGAGTTGAATGGCCTCAATTTCGAATTAGAATTTTGAAGCTTAAAGCTCTGGGCTCCTTGATCATGTTGGCATTGTGACGTCAGAGGCGAGAAAACACACTAAAAATGATTAAATGCCATTTCAAAATAGCATCTAAGAATTTTCAGCGTTTTTTTTCTTTCTCACCTTTGACGTCACAATCTAATATGACCGCAGCGAAGACTCAGGTGCTTGACTTTAATTTTTCTGCCAAAATTTTTTTTAGATGCCAATGTGTTTCAAAATATTCCAAAACATCGAAACAGACACATTTTCGAAAAATGTCTCATATATGTGTGTTTTGTGAAAATTAATCTATTGAAATTGAAAAGCCAGCTTGCTCGCTGCAATCTGGTCCAATTTGCATACTTTTCTTGCATACAAATTGCATCAACAGAATATGGAAGAAACAAAGCTTCCTCTATTTTATGCGGAAGTAGAACTTAATTAGGAATTTGCTCCCTCATAATTTCATGACGAAGCCAAAATTGAAAAGCCAGCTTGCTCGCTGCAATCTGTTGCAATTTGCATACTTTTTTTTGCGTACAAATTGCATAAAAAAAATGGTGGAAACTTAATTAGAAATTTGTTTCCTCATAATTTTATGTGGAAACCAAAATTGAGAAGCCAGCTTGCTTGCTGCAATCTGTTGCAATTTACACACTTTTCTTGCATAGAAATTTTTACATCAACGGAAGATGGAAGAAACACTTAAAGGTTCTAATAAAAGTCACAATCAAAGGATGAAAAAAAGAAATATCTATTGAAGGGCATAGATCTGAGGAGTGTCTCGATTGACCACGTTGACATTGACACACAGCCGATCATGGCGGCCGCTGCTCAGCGTATTTTTGCCAACATTAACCAACCCGGGAGGACTTTGTGGCCAATGTCAACGTGGTTAAACGGATCCCACCCCATGGTCTCTCACCCGGAAATTCAGTTTTCCATTCAGGATGATTGAGATTGGCATAGAGCACCATTGACATCGTTGCTCCACCACCCAATGCTTCGTCAGCCTCCATTTTAGGACTGTTTCTTTGATTATATGAGATAGTAGCAGTACCTGATGTCGTATTTCCTTCATCTTCGGAATTTACCCATGGACTAGGTGGCTCTGAAAACGCTGGACTAAATTGTGGACTGCTGCGAAAATTAGAATTGAAAATAAATTAGTATTAAATTGAGATTACATGTACAAAATAGTACAATTTACTATTTGTTTTTGAGGAAGAATATGTAATTTGAAACGAGTAGCTACGTATTTTTTCTTAAAACAATTATGTGTTTTCTTTACATCAATTGACTTCTCTCATTATGCATAAAAGGGGCATATAAGGTAAAATCATAAAAAATGCATATTTTACAAGATATTTTATATAAAATTATGTCACATTAAAGTATAAAATATCTCGTAAACTATTTATTTTTCCATCATATTACTCTTATAACTTTTTATGTAAATATTGCGAGGAATCGATTTATGTAAAAAAATATTTAGTGTCTACTCAAATTTTGTAAAAACATTCTTTGAGAATCCCTTGATCTTCTCGATATTTTCGTTCAAAATTTTAAATAAAATAAGAAAATTTGTAGATACAGCTTTTGAAAAATCCCTCTATTGTATACGCTGTTTAATGTTTTTTATTCATACGATTAAAAGTGCAGTTTTTCTAGCATTTATAATAATGATTTACTAATTGTAAAATTAATTTGGAATAATAATAAAGTGTGACATGACCACTATATTTAAATGTTAAACATATAGGTATACAATATTGAATAAAAATATAAAATAAAAAAATAATTTATTATAAATGTCTTAAGAAATATTAATTTGTTTAAATGAATTATTTTAATAAATTATTTTATTATTTTTTATTTGTTTATTAAATTATTATTAAATTATTTATTAAATAAATAAAAAGTAATTTTATTTAAATATTAAGTACTTATTAAAAATTGAAGAATTTTCTGTGAAACTTATATAAGATTTTGAAATAGATCAATAATATTTTAATAAAAACTTAAATATTGCAAAGATATGTTAGACATATATTTCTTAAATGTTAAATAAAAATAAAATTATCAAAAAAGCAATTTTAAAAAAGTCCCTGATTAAAATTCCACGAGAATATCCTGATTTTTCAAAATAAAATTCCCTGAGAATAAGATTTTTCTCGGAAGTATACACTATGATACAATGATTCTATTTTAAAAAATGGAGTGACTTCCTTTTGTTCCTTATATAAAAAGACTCCTAATATTTTTTTTCTCCATTAAATTTTCAGGTATCTTGTCCTATTTAATTTTTTAAAAAATTCAAGTTAATAATTCAAGTTAATATATCTAGCAATGGCAGAGAAAATAACTTGTATTATTTTATGTGGGCCACCTACCTTGTGTATATATATATATATATATATATATATATATATATATATATATATATACTATATCTATTTATCCTTACTTGCTATACTCGGAGTGATATGGTGAAGGTGGTGGAAAACTCATCGGAGAGTTTAAGGTTGACTGACCAACTGAGGGCAAACTACCAGGTACTTGAGGCCTCGCCAAAGGTATTGCTGGTTGAATACCTATAAAAGAATTTGTTCAATAAAGTAAAATAATTATTAAGTACATATACAATTTTTTATTATAAAATTATTATAAAATACGTGTTTGAGAAAGATAGTCTTTACATATATATAATTTATTTATGCATGTTTTAATTTTTCATTTTTCTGATGTCTTAATCTTAAAAACAATTTAAAATAATAGGAGTTTTTGAAATATTCGACCAAACTAGCAAGTAATAATCGTTTATTAAATTTCACGATGTTTCGACCATATGGTCGTGGTCCTTTTCAAGTGAGAATAAAATAATTTATTACATATATTATTATTATCAACAAAACACTAATATAAAATTCGCAATTGGAAACGAACGTAATACTTACAAGTAAAGTAATAATTAACTCATACAGTAATAATTAATATCAATTTTTAGAGAGAAATATACAAGTCAAAATTAAAATTAAAATTGTAAAATTGTGTAAAATTGAAATTGTGAGACAGCCACAATATATCCCAACAAAGAATCGTCAGATTCTAATGTATTTTAAATGAGATTATTTATACGACCTTAACTATTTTTATTATATATATCGTTTAGACTCTGTATTCTTCTGTGAGTTTATATTGTTGTTTAGTTTTTTAATATAAAACATTTCGGCTATCTCTCTCTTTCTTACATGTTTTTCCGTGTGTAAAATGTTAAATCTATTCCAATCAAAATCATGTTCAAATTCAGATCGATGTTTACTTATAACCGAATGTGAACTATGATGTAATTTAATATTATTACAATGTTCACTAATAATTGAGAATTATTTAAAATTTTTCTAATCTTTTCTATTAATTTTGTTTAAAGGATTTATATCACCTAAATTTCCTTTATATCGTTATTACATTCAATTTTTTTATTAGCAATTGCATTTTGTGTATTTTATTTTCATATTAATTCTTTAATGTTCGATAAACCTAAATTTTTATTAATTATTAATATGTTCAGCATTATGTACTTACCAGGATGGGGGGAGGGTGATACTAAGGGGGTAGTAGACGAAGAAGGGTGTGAAGTTTGAGCTTGAACAGAAAACACTGATGATTCTTGAGACTCTTGAGATTCGTCAGTCAAAACGCCTTTAAATATCTCCTCGATATCTTTACTATCCATATTTGGTAATCCTTTAAAAAAAATATGTAACATTATATAAAAATAAATCCTTCTCAAATCTTAAAATGTTATTTTATTTTAATTTATGTCAAACTTGAGAAGGACCCAAACCAAGAGTCGAAACGTCGTCCTTAATTTTATTTGATGTCTAACCAACAATAAAGATATTTTTTTATGCCAGTTGGGTCGTTAAAAATTATTTGATTTATTTTATTAATCACTGGCGGAAAAGAGGATTTGCTGCTTATTATTATACATATAAAAATATATATAAAATACATATATAATATATTTTTATAATATATTATAATTTATTATAGTGTAAGAGGTTTGGGTACGCTCCTCTAAAAAAGCACCTTCAATCCCCAAGAGGACGAATAAAATCTATCTATCTATATTATAATTTATTATATTATTTATTATATTTTTATTATATATAATAAAAATATAATAAATTTATTATAAATAATATAATTTGTAATATATTTGTTATATTAATATTATGCATTATTACAGTTATAATATATTACAATTATATTTATAATTAAAATATATAATATATAAAAAAATAATATATAAAAATAATTGTATTAATATAGCATCATAATGTTTTACATAATTTTTCTAATTTAAAAATTAAATTTTTAATTTATAAGATCTTACCTGTGTCTCTGACCATCGCTTCCAAATTGAAATGTGGACTCAAAATCTCTGTCAATTCATCCTTATTTCCACCCTGAGTATCATCCAACTCGTCCACCAACGCTTCACTAGCTTTCGCCAAAGTGTCTTCGTCGTTTTCATTCATTATTGTATTTACTAGATCACTATCCAATAAATCTCCAGAAATTGGTAAAATATCACCAAGTGCCTCGGTATCGCTACCATCATCCTCCACAATCTCTTCCCGTTTGATTTGTTCTTGACCCTTCTCGTCTTCCTTTTCCTGCTTTGCCTTAATTTGCTCCATTGCCTTCAATTCGTCTTGCGATAACTGAATTGTGTTAGCGTTCCCGGGAGTTTTGCGCTCCTCTTCGGACTCGCTGCTGCTTTCGAGATCCTTCTCCTTCGTCGTATCCATCAAATCCTTCCCGAAGAACGCTTCTTGCATATAAAGGGGAAAACATTCTGCCAGTTTCGTCTTCGGTTTCCTCCTCTGAGGTTTCCTCCGCGGTTTATCATCCCCCATTCCGACTCCCATCGAAGACTCCCCGGACTTCTCCGCGTCCCCTTCCTCCTCCTTATCCTTCCTCGTGCCCCTTAATCTAACAACGAATCCCCCGATTCCCAATTTCTGCAGGTTTCTCTGACGTTTTCTTCGCAAAACGGGAAGGCCGCTCTCTGAAGTGCAAATACTGAAGCCTTCAGGGGGCGGCTGATTCCATACCATACCCTCCTTCAGCACCGTTTCCGGCTCGTCCTTCACGTCCATCAGCTCCATCTTGTTATTCTCCTCCAAAGAATTGTCTAAACTACCCCCGGCCACGACGGACTCGATGGTCGCCATAATATCCGCCTCTTTGTCCACCACCGGGAGCAGCTTCCTTCTCTTCTTCCGAGTTTGCTGATGCTCCGCGGTCAAGGATTTAATATGATTCATTCCAGCTTCGGAAAGGTAGACTCCGTCCAATAGATACTGCTGCGTAGACGACGATTTGAACATTTCCGGACTGCGGTTCTGCGGGGGCGGGGACAACCTGGCAAACTTTGGAAGCGGCTTCGACAACAAATGAGGCGGCGGAACATCCCTCGGACGACAGAGCAGGCAGATGTAACCCTCCGCGGCGCAACGCTCGGCCTCCATCTCATTCTTAATCGAGTCGCAGCTGCAGTGAAGCCATCTCTCGCACTGGACGCACTGAATGATGAGGTCGCCCTCCTGATAAGCCTCCTGGCACACTATGCAGGCGGTATGGGAAGCGCAAGGTCCACACTGAGTGTAGCTCTTCTGCCAGGATGAATTTACGCCGGGATTATTCGAGCCGCAGGTCTGGCATTGCGCGCACCACTTGCATTTCCAGGTGCCGTGCGGCACGTGATCCAACGGCGGGTCGATGCAGTAAATGTGGTAGCTGATGTCGCAGTCGTCGCAGAGGATTAATCGAGCCTCGTCATTTCGCTCGCCGCAACCTGGAAAAATTAGAAAATAATTATATTAGGCTTGACGGATTTATTCTTCAAATTTTTTAGGTGTCACCAACACTTTGGATGTCTTCCGCAGAGAAAGTTGCTTTACAATTGTTGTAAAATTCACGAGTCTGATTGGTGTAGGCTTGAGGCTCTTGGATGCTCACCATGTCAGATCGTGACGTCAGAGGCGAGAAGGTATACGCTAAAAATTCTTAGATGCCATTTCGAAATAAAATGATATTTCGACGAAAAGCCAGAAGCCTTGATCTTGCATGAATTCAGTTTTCTTAGGATTTGGAAAAAATATTGCTAAGAAAAACTATGTTGCAAATTGTATACATTTTCTTAAAAATATCTGCGTTTTCTGTACATTAATTAATTTGTCTAATGATTTTAAAGTATAAAAGAGTATTAAAATATGATTACACTAAATATTTAAAAGATATTTTATATTTTATATAAAAATACTGTAAATTTTAAGCATTTATAATATAACTTTCGTTTAAAATATTTGTTTCAAAAAACTTATTTTCGAGATATTTAATTATTATAGAACTTTTAGAACACCCTATATGGCACATATATACCGGGTGTTTTAAAAATGCACAAGCAAAATTTAGGAAAATATTCCTTACACTAAAGGATGAAAAAATGTTATACGAACATGGGTGTAGAAATTCCTTTTTTCAGGAATTAGTTTTTTTAGGAGTTAATTTTTTATATTGATATTATTAAGTAATTTTATCAAATGAATATGTGGAATACATTTAATTAACTATTTTTTAAGGTTTTAAATCGTGTTTTGTACAATTAAAAGCCAAATACTATTTATTATTCACATTGAAATGTGGCAACGATACATTTCAGTTTCAATAACTGCTGGTAGAACTAGATAGTGAGAGATAACTCTGAAACGTCAGAACGCGACCACGCGGACCATTATAAATCTATTTTAGTTTTAGTGTTCTCAAAAAATGAAAAGGTGGAAGTGAAAACTACAAATATAAAAACAGTATAATCGGCGTTTAAAACAAGTAGAAAATGGAAAGCGGCCATTCATCAGGGCCGACTAACACGCCACGTTGTCGTTTTTCGAATTGTGCTCGATAGCTTTACGCGAAACAGCTACAACGTGCTGTTTTATTTTTACAATTTTTGATAACTATGTAGACAAATCATTTCAGTTTTTCTCACGTCCTTCGTAAATGTGTAACCAATTATTTGCAACTATTTTTATTAAATTCTCATCATTTGTAACATGCTTTTGAGAGTTAAATTACAAGGTATGTAACATTTTAGCTATGTCGGCCACGTGCAAGAGAGAAAAGTATAACTTCAATAATTAATTACTCGAGAACCGTGCAGACAATTGCCTTCATCTTTGGCATGAATGACAGATTCTCATAGACGAATATCTCCCATAAATTTAGATTCTTATCATTTTGATTTGAGCACCCTCCTTAAGCCATTATTAAGTGTAAACAAGTAACCATAACATTAAAGGTCAATATTTATCTGACAGATAAGGTTACTACCTCATTTAGCTGTAACGTCGCATACTCAGAAAAGAAGCTCTAACTTCTGAAAAGAGTTTCCGTACTCATGTTCATATAACATCTTTTCATCCCTTAGGTGTAAAGAATACCTCCCTAAATTTTTTTATAACACCCTATATATATAAAACACAAATCTATACCTTCTATCGAAATTTCATAAATTATTTTCATATAAAAAATGTTAATGTTTAATTACGTCATAATAATATAATCTTAATTTTTATATTTATCAATATATAGTGTCCACATTTTTGTTAGAAGCATTAGAAATATTTAATATTTTAATTATCACTTATTTATAATTAATTATAATTATAATGATATATAATTACAATTATAATTATAATTATAATAAATATAATTATAATTATAATAATATATATAAATACAATTATAATACGTATAATTATAATTACAATGAAAATAATTATAATAAATTTTATAATTAATATAGTTTAATTAATTTTCCAATACCTTCGCAGACGGTGCAATCGAGGCATCGCCAGCCCTTCTGCAAGATGACTTTGGTGACTTTCACACTAGCGCAGTATGGATGATAGCATTGACCGCACTGTGCGCACGCGATCAAGCAACCTTCTGAATCAATGCCGATCGCGCCGCACATCACACAAATATCCTGCGTCAGGACAAATTTATCCTTGGCGGAGCAGAGGATTAGCTTGTTCTCCCCCCCAGGCTCCTCTTCCTTTGATGCGGAGGAATCTAATACAGGACTCTGTAACAGTTGAAAAAAGAAATTAATTTCTTGTTTTTTATAAAAAATAATAGATTTGAAAATATTTACTAAATAGCTAAATTAAAAATTCAGTATTATTCTATTATTAAAATATTTAAAAACTATAATTTTAATATTAAAAAATTCTATTATTATACAGGACTCTGCGATAATTGAAAAAAAAAAAATTATTATTAATTTTCAAAAATAATAAATTTAAAAATGTTTATTAAATAGCTAAATATACGTATTATATACAATAAATTAAAAATTCAGTATTAAATTTCAGATTATTAAAATATTTAAAACTTATAATTCTACTATTAAAAAATTCTATTATTATACAGAATTCTGCAACAACAACAATAAAAAAAAAAAAAAAAAAAAAAAAAAAAAAAAAAAAAAAAACGATTTATTATTTATAAAAAATTTAAAAGACAAAAAAATACACGTGTAAAAAGTTTTCTTCGTAATCCTTTTTGGACCCAATATCATGACTTGCGGCAATAAACTGAGATTTGTACAAAGTAGGAAGAAAAAGAATATAAATATGGCAGTGAACCCGTGCTGCCATCTATAATTATGGCAAGAACAATAAATTCCATTTTCAATTCGATTGATTATACATTCTATTCATAAAATATTTAAAAACTATAATTTTATTATTAAAAAATTATGTTATTATATAAGACGCAACAGTTAAAAAAAAATAAAAAAATAATTTATTATTTATTTACAGAAAATAATAAATTTAAAAATATTAATTAAATAGCTAAATATATTAATAAAATATTTCAAAACTATATAATTTTACTTTAAAAAATTATATTATTACTATTAATATAAAATGATATTGCAATAATAATATTAAATGTATGCAAAATTATTTCCAATAAATTTGAGAAAAAAAATACAATATAAAATACTTATTAATAAATCAATTTCTTATCGACAAATACAATGATTTTTTTTCGAGTAATACTACAAAACTCATAAAATAGAGTGTTAAATTCAATAAAAATCCTTTAACATATAAATGTACAGGGTGTCTCATAGGACATTGCTGAAACTAATCAGCTGTCGTTTTTAATGCATACAGTTATTGAGAATTGTGTTGAAAAGAGGAAAGTCTACAATTTTTAATGGATATAAATAAAATAAAATGTTTGTATACCAGTTTATTTTATTGAAAAACAATAATGAAAAAAATGTTAATAATCACATATGTAAGCTAATGATAAATATTTTCGAAATGTGTATTATTTGAATTTGTACAAAATTCTGTTCTTTTACGAAAACTCGTAAAAACTTTTTCTGACATGTCATTTTTAATATTATTGATGATACTTTTAATAGATGCTATTAAATCTGACACTGTTGAAAATATTTATCATTAGTTTATGTGATTTTATTAGCACTTTTTTCATTACTTTTTATCAATAAAATAAACTAATATATACACATTTTATTTCTCCTTTCTAAAAAAGGCATATTATTTATTTTGTCCTCGCTTTTCCGCAATGTAAAATGAGGTAATACATAATAGAAATTTAGGAATTAAAATTATCTCTTTTTAAAAAGGGAATTAAAATTATCTCTTTTTAAAAAGGGCATTCTTGCAAGTATTGTTGCCGCTTTTCTGTGGTTCTGATTGTTTCGCTTTGTTGTTAAATTGAAAGTATCAAGCAACTGTCACTCAAAGATTAACAATTTGACAGTTATAAAATAAAAAGAAACATAATACAAATAGCGCGCGCAAAGCGCGCGTTGTGTTGTCTAGTATATATCCAAACTGCAGACTTTCCTCTTTCGAACACAATTTTTGTTTTCTCAATAACTGCATGTATTAAAAAAAATGATAGCCGATTAGTTTCAGCAATTTCCTATGAGACACCCTGTATATACAGGGTGTATACTCAAATCTGAGCAATAAATTTCCTGAGAATTCCATGATTTTCCAGGTACTTTGTTCAAAATTCCAGGTAAAACTAAAGTATTTTAAATAATATTTAGAATACAATTTTGAAATAATTTGTTGTGCATAATTTTTTAAATATAAACGAAGTATTTTTAAATATAACAATGTAATATAGTATTGTATTATAATAAAATATATTTTCATAAATATACTTTAGATAAAACTAATAAATTTTATATTCTTTAAAACTAGATTTTAAAATCAAAGGAGCAATTTTTTTAAAATTCCCTAAGTTCAAATCAAATTCCAGGATTTTTCAAGGTAGAACAAAATTCCCTGAGAATTCCAGGTTTTTCAGGAGTATACACCCTGTCATATTTTATATCTCAAGTTCTCCATATACCTGCAAGCCCACTTCGGGCAGCCCGAAGAGTCCCCTCATTTTCGCCTTCGGTCCTCTCTTCCTACCGAACTCTGTCATCTTCTGCCTCTTTTGGTAGCCCAACTTACCAATTCCCTTAGGCCTACCGAGAATTCCACCGCTAATCCCCAATCTCTTCTTCGCAATTTTCGTGGCGCAAAACGGCTTTCCCTTCCCTAATCCGACCGAGTAAAGCGCCTCTTCGGAACTACCGCCCTGATAATCCAATTCGGATGATTCGCCGTCGAGGCTCTCTTGAGAAGCGCTTAGATTTAAATCGCCCTCGTCGAAGCTGTCCTTCCGTCTGGCTACCATGGCCATGTTCTTACAGTGAAGGCAGATGTATTCGTAATCGGGTTTTGCTTCTTTGCGCTGCTGATAGGTGAGCGGATCGGCTTCGGAGTCGCACGTGCCATGTACAAACTTCTTGCAGGAATAACATTGTACCATCTCACGATACGCTGCGGCTCTGCAAATAGCAATAAATAAATAAATAAATAATAAATAACATACATTTACAAAATATTTAATAGCTAAAAAAATATCGATATCTTAATATAACATATCTAATGTAGTATCAAAATATATAAATCCTATAATAAAATTACATATCATATATGAAATTAATAAATTGTCTATTAATATCTCAAGATATATTAATTACATCTGAGAATATGTATTTTATATACAATTATATTTATCAAAATTTGTCTAGCATGTATAAATAATTTTAGTTTGAAAAAATATTGAATTACCTATAGGCCTTTCTGCACAGCGGGCAAGAAAAACCTTTATTGCGCTGCTGGTAACACGAATCACACACAGTATAATGAGAATGCCATCTGGAAGAGAGTCCGGCTCCGGGAGTACGTGAACCGCAATCGGTGCACACGCGACAACATTTACATTTCCAGCCATATTTCGGAATGGAAGTGACGATAGGTCGCAGACAGCCGGGGTGATAAGCTTTGTCACATCGTTCACATAGCATCACCTGCATTCATTATACATATATACATATATATTATAAAAATTATTTTATAATAATATTAATAAAAACATTACAATCATGTGCAATTACAATTATGTGAAATATATATAATAAAATTATGAAATATATATAAATATAGTAATCTTTAAAAATTTTAATAGACTAAAAAAATAATTAGCTAAAAAAATCAAATATTTCAACATTTTAATTTAAACTACATATTGTAATTAAATTAGTTTGATATAAAGAATTAAAGTTAATTTATTAAATAATAAATAAAACTTAAAAAAACAATAAAATCCTTTAAATATATTTAATCTCTAATTAAATAATTAAGTAATTTCTAATTTTAGTATTAACCAATTCTAATACTTTTCCGAAAATAAAGAATTTACTAGTAACTTTTAAAAATTTCTTTAGTTATCTATTTAATATTAATTTAATTGTATAAGAATTGTAATTTGAAAGCATATTAGCGTGTAAAAAGCACATTTTTCTTTTTAAATATCTATTTAATACATTATTTTAATTTAAAATATTTAAAAAATGTTCAGCAATTGTTTTTCCACTAATAGTAATAGTTTTAATAATAATAAACTCATTAATAGTTTACTAAATGCGTTAAAAATTTTAAAAATAAAAACAATCACAGTATCAATTACTACTTTTTACAAATTAAATTCTTTTTTATATTATAACCGTAATTGAAATTTTCTATAAAATTTTCAATAAACTACTGTAATATAAAAATCATATTATATGTATATATATATAATATATATATATATATATATATATATATATAATAATTAAAAAAAATTTTCTTCTCGTATAATTGCATTCTGCAATTTTAAAAGATTTCAGCGTATATTTTTTTCCTTTATGATTTATGATATTTGTAACCTTAGAGACATCCTCAGGTTGTCGACAGACTTGACAGACGCGACAGGACGCACACTGCCATCCAGCACGTACTCCAGGCAGCAATGCTAAGCCGACGCAGCTGCCGTGGTAATGCTGGCCGCATACAGAACACATCACTAAATTTGATACATCGCCCATTCCATAACATTGCACACACGTCACTTCCCCATTCACTGCAAATGCAAGATTTAATAAATTAATTATAAATTAATAATTACAAGATTATAAATTAAGGCTCCTGAATCCTCGCCACGGCTATGTTAGATTGTGACGTCAGAGGCAAGAAAGCGCATGCTGAAAATTCTTAGATGTCACTTTTAAATGAAAAGATATTTTGATAAAACGCTATTTCAGATGACTTTAGCACACTTTTAAAATACCTGGAGAATATAAAATATATATAAATATAGTAATAAATCTTAAAAAATTATAATAAATTTAAAAAAATCAAGTATTAAAATTTTTAAACTACATTATGTAATTAAATTAGTCTGATATAAAAAATTAAAGTTAGATATTAATTTATTAAATAATACTTTAAAATTACTTAATTAAATAAAACTTTGAAAAAATAATAAAATTCTTTTAATATAGAACTATAACATGGTTGGCGAGAAGCCAGGAACCTTAATAAGTAATTTTTATTATGAATCTTTTTCTTTTTTCAGATTTTCTTCTTATGCTACTCAGTGATATTAGAATAATAAAAATTGCCTGAATTTATTTAAATAATTTTTATATGTAACAATAACATTTTTCTGCTATTTATTAGTTATGTTATCACTTTAATAATTTTTTCATTTTTATCTTTACTTAAATTTATTGAAGATTAAATAATAAAAATAAAATTTTTATGTTTACACTGCTCAGAAATGAAGAACTTACGCAAAAGCGGAACTTGACCGAGATGCTGGCTGCAAAAAAGTGACAGACTCTTCGTATCCTGAAAGCAACTATTGGCTGCTGCACACGGGAAATGAAAATAACGATTGCACGACGCCACCTATGGAATCGCAATAGATTATTATCAAGAAACTGTAATTATGTGTAAATACTTTAAAATAGTATAAGAAAATAATCGCGAAATTTTTAATTTTAATTTTTATAATTATAATTAATATTATATGTAATTTTTAATAAATATAATTACTATTTATATTTTTTTCTATATTATATTAAATACATATATTAAAATATATTATATTAAATCTCACAATTATATTTCATATTAATAACTTATTACTGATGATATGATAATGACTAAGTTAAAAAAACTTACTTTGCAAGGAATTCCAGCACCAAAGTGTGAACAGTAGGCGCAACGTCTGCAAGAAGCTTGCAAGACGGCGCGACACGTCACTTCTGGTGCCAAATCTTGACTGTTACTGGACCAAATAATACACGATTGATGAACGTAATAATAGCCGGTTAGTGGCTCAAACAGAGCTCCAACTTCTGGCTCTTCCGAATAACCCACGATTGTGAGTTCTTCTACCGGTTCCGTAAAATTTGTTAGACTAGTATTCCTATGAAAAGAAAATTATGTAAATGTGAACTTTTACATTTTAATTTATCTGTGGATTCTTTGTAAGCAACCGACACTGCTTACATACTTTTTAGCATTAAAGATATATATATATAATATATATATATATATATGTATATATTATTTTAGTATAAAATATAATATGAATAATCCATATAGATATTTATATTAATATAATATTATATAATTAATTATAATATATTATTTATTATAATAATAAATATAATATAGTATTGAATTATAATATTAATATGTAATATTAATATAATTCTCGCACACCTGCATTTGGCCAGGCTCTTCTGTCTACGACAGGTAACAGCGACTCCAGGTCCAGCCGCACGTGGACTTTTATCTCCGGCGACAGTAATGTCAATAAGACGATCGGTAGTTGTTTCATCCCGGTTTGTTGACTTTTCGGGAGTAAAGCCCGGCGGACAAGTTAGGCGCAAAAGTTCACCTTGGCCCAGCTGACTCCTCTCGCCTAAATTACATAATGCGCATGCCTTGCCCGGCCTGAAAATATTTATAATTGTGATTTAAGTATGAATTATAAAAATTACAAATATTAATTATAAAATTATAAATAAAAATTATAAATATTAATTATAAAATTATAATATTAAAATACTTAAGGCTCTTGGATCCTCGCCGCTTCCATATTAGATTGTGGCGTCAGAGACGAGCAAGCACACGCTGAACATTCATAGATGTCATTTTTAAATGAAAAGCTATTTCGTTCTCTGACATCACAATTCTATCGGCGAGAAGCCGGGAACCTTAAATTTACATTAGGTTCTTGTTTTTTAGAAAACTTTATTGAAAAATTTTTCCATATTTAACTTAAAGAGATGCTTATATTGCAAAATATTAATAAAGAATGCTTTTTGAGAATAAAATTATATGCAAATAATTGTAAAAAAAGTTATAAGTTCTGGAACAGTGTAAAATTAATACTTAAACTTTCATGGAATAATTGAAGAGTTACGCGGAGTTTTTTTTACCATTGTTCAGGAAAATAAGGAGGCTCCTCAGGTGCCGGCATCGACCTGTCAGTAATATTCCCTCCCGATTCTCCATTACCGTCGATACTGGGATCGTCCATTCCACTGGTGCGTAAAGGGCTTGGCGACTCTGAATGTGTATCATCGTCTTTGCTTTTGGTACGACGCGGTATACCTCTTGCATATCCTAGTCTATAAATAAAAATATATTATAAAATAATTTATATATGTATGTGTGCCTATTAAAATCATATATACAGGGTGTGTGTCCCATAGGAAGTTGCTGAAACTAATCAACTGTCATTTTTTTAATGCGTGCAATTATTGAGAAAACAGAAATTGTGTTGAAAAGTCTGCAGTTTTTAATAAATATAAATAAATATATTTAATAATAAATAAAATGTTTGTATATCGGTTTATTTTGAAAAAAATAATTATTAAAAAAAAAAATTATTAAAAAAATTACAGTTGATTAGTTTCAGCAATTTCCTATGGAACACCCTGTATAATTGATGTACATACGCAGCGTCAGCAATAATTATAATAATTGAACACAAACCCTTTGCCTCTGGCACCACCTCTTCCAAAAGGTCTTCTGTTAGCACCTCCACGAGTGATACCAAGCGGTCGCTCTTCCGAGGTCTACCAGGTCCGCGACGAATGTTCAAAGGTTTTCCACCAGGCAATGGAAATTTCTGATACCTCAATGGATCGTGAAAAGCCTCATCTGGTGTGACTAATAAAAAAAAAAAATAAATAAATATCAACATAAATGTAAACTAAAAAACATATTAAATAAAAGTACAAGAAATAATTTAAAAAGATTAATAAAAGAGCACATATTTAATTTCTGTGAGTTCCATATATATTTATATTTATATTCAATGTACTAATATATATTATTATTAAAAAACTAAAATGTAATAGTTTAGGTTTTTATTAATAATAAATCTAATATAAATAAATATTTTAACAATTCAATCCACATTTATATGTATATATAATAAAATGTAATAAAATGAACATATGTAATAAAATAAATTTAAGATTATTTTTAAAATATAATATTTAAGATCACATTTTCTAAATTTTAGTTTAAAACAAAATTAATAAACTATAATTTAATCTGAAAAGTAATAGAAAAACATAGCTTAAACTGAAAGAAAAAATAAATTATAATAAAATTAGTTTATAAAAGTTTATATTATTAATTAATATTTATAATAATAATCTATTTATTTTTAAATTACTAATTTTTTATTTTTCAATCAACTTTTTCATTTTATGTTTTTCTAATTTGAAAATTCAAATGCTTTTATTTAATCATTTTATATATAGTATATATATACTATATATATATAACTTTATATTAGTTTAATAAATAATTCTTACAAGTTTGTAACGCTTCTTATTCTAAAAATAGCAAAAGAAAAAGAGAACATAACAATATTGAAATGGTTAATTTGCAGGTACTAATTGTTACCAGGAGTTGTCGGAGTAGTTTGTCCGAGCAATTGGTCCAAGTTAGCTGGAGATATTGGAATCCCTGTAGTCTCTTCATCCTCATCTTCGCCTTCGGAAGCCTCGTCCAACTCCATTTCTTCCTCACCCTCAAGACGTACTTCATCATCCATGGCACTTCTCTCGCTCTCTCTCTCTCTCTCTCTTTCTTTCGCTCACTTTATCTCTGTCTCTCCACCAGCTTTATGTTATACTGATCTGAAAGAAATACATAAAAAAGTTATATAATGTTCCAATAGAAAACTTATCACATTGCACCATATAAAATTCCACTTCAATTCTGGCAAATAAATTTTCTTAATGTAACAAAAAAATCTCTCCATTACAAAATATTCACAAAAATACCATAAAAAATACTTTGTCTAAATATCACATCAACAAAATTGAAAAAAAAATCTCAACAAAAATAAGTGCTCCTTCTTTTTGGAAAAAAATACATGAAAAAATTATACAATGTGTTACGACACAACTTATCACATTGCACCATACAAAAGAACTCTACTTCAATTCCGATAAATAAATTAGAATAAATTTTAACTCTCAATACAACAAAAGAGCACAATAAATCCCTCAATTATAAAACATCACAAAATATCACATCAACAAAGTCAAAAGGAAATCTCAACAAAAATAGGTGCTCCTTCTCGGTGGAAATACATAAAAAAAATGATACAATGTTACAAAACAAATCTTATCACATTGCACCATACAAAGTACTCTACTTCAATTTTGGTAAATAAATTAGAATAAATTTGAACTCACAATATACCAAAAAAATCCTCAATTACAAAACACTCACAGAATTATAAAAACTACTTTGTCCAAAATATCACACCAACAAAGTCGAAGGAAAATCTCAAGAAAATCGGTGCTCCACCCTGGTGTCAAATAATTAAATACAACATCCTCTGACAATCCTCATATACATATATATAAAAAATAAAATTCGAGGCATCGGATTTCTTCCTCCGATCACGAAACCGAGGTTTCTCCGGGAGCCCCGGGGAGGACGAGAGGGGGAGGAAGGAGGCTCTCGGCGTCGATGAAGATGACGATGAGGACGAGGAACAGGACGGCGTTCGCCATTACTACGTAAACACGGGAGAGCCGTCAGGGCGCGCCGCGCCGCGCCGCCTGCCCTTGGCGGGTCGCCCTCGGCGCCGAGCGGCGTCGGGCACCACGTACCTGCCGGGAGAGACTCAACGCCGCTGGTGAGGCGCTGACCTGGGCGTCATGGTGGAATCGACGGCGGACTGCTGGTGATCCTCGCGGCGGCCAGCCAGCCAGGTAAACATGTTGCAGCCAGGGCGAGCGAACCGATGATGGTGTGAAAAAAAATGCTACATACACATACACAGAGACGAAGGAGGGTGTACGCGGACGAGATCTCTCTCTCTCTCCCTCTCGCGCTCTCTCTCGCACTCTGGGCGAACGGAAGAGCACGGTTGCCGGAACGCGAACTAACACACTAGAGGATCGCGGAGAGAAACGGATATGGGTGGACAGATCTGTCGCGAGTGGAGTTTCCCTGGAATTCCCTAGGAATTTGTTCTAGGGAAGATCCCGAGGGAGAGAGTTCATTGGGGAACGGAGCGAGGACAAGCCAATCGCGTTCGGGTATTCCCGATGACGTCATAGGATGATAGGAACTGCGATTGGTCGAGTCTGATTGGTTGGCGAAGTCACGTGATCGTGACGTCATTTGGTTTCTTATCTATTTGAATTTCAGAGAAAGATTAATCTGGAATAATCGGTTGGGTAAGTTAATTTTTATAAACCAAGTTATTTTTTTTAAACCAATTTAAAGTTAGTTGCTTATAAAATTAATTTTGTATAAACAAAATATTAACTCGGTTAAAGTTAAAACTATAAATTTGATAATTATTAAGTTTAGCTACGTTAAATTAAATAACTGAAGTTAAATGAAAAGTTAATTTTTAAAAACATTATTATTTATATTAAACTAGAATTTTGTTTGTTAATTCTTTTAAAATTTATAATAACAAATGACAAAGAGATTTTGATTTTTATGTAGAAATACATTTTTAGGTAATTATACAGTTGATGGCAAATGAATATAAAAATGAATACTACAATACATATTTCAATTAAAAAATATAATGCGTTTATAAAAAAATAATGGTATTCAGAGATCAAAAAATTTAACTTAGAAAAAAGTTAATAAAGTTAAAAATTCATACATTTTTAAATGACTAACCTAAGTTAAAAGTTATCAACTTTTTAACTTCTTCTTTAACTTGTAACTAATTAACTATTACCCAACCCTGATAATTTTTATAATTTTGTGCAATATATATATTCAACTATTACACTCTGTTCAACAAGAAATGACTTTCTTTCAAACATCGGTTGGAATAACCCAAGTAGCAAACTGACATCAGTTTGCTATTTGGGAAGATTATAGTTTTTTATAATTTTTTGGATGCTGAGTATGAATCTGGTTTCCAAATTGCTCCATTATGTTACAATTTTGAGAAATTTCTTATTAAAGTTATAACAAAAGACTATTTTCACAAACTTCATCATGTATTATATACCTATACAATATGTAACGAAAGTTTTATTGCAATCAAAATCAAAGAAGTTTTATTGCAATTAAAATAAAATATGTTGTTAAGACTTTTAACCCTTAAAAGGAATTTTTGGTATTAGTTGTGATTATTTAATATAATAATATTTGTACAACATTGCTGCAATATTTGTAATATGACGCAATATTGAAATAATATCCATAGTTAAATATGAGCTGTGTTGCGGAAGTATAGTTATGACTTATAATATTATTTGATGGATAAGAACATTAATATTTAAAAAAGTTCTATTGTTAGTATACATGTATACTCTATTAGAATTTGTATCATTATATTTTTAATATTCTATATTAGAAATTAAGTGATGAGTCAGAAGTTTAAATTACATTAAAAACTATCCATATAAATACATATAGAAATTAAGTGGATTCTGGAATCGATAAAGACAATTTGGTTATTTTAATATATTTCATAATAAAGAGTTACTATGTGCTGTAGAATAATGTATATTTTATTTTACAATCAAGAGATAAAAAGTATACATTGTATGCAAATATATGAATTTTACATTAAGTGTATGTATAGTATATTATATATATATATATATATATATATATATATATAGAGAGAGAGAGAGAGAGAGAGATATTATTATAAATTCTAAAATATTTATTGAATATTTTATCATATAATATAAAAATCATATTATAATTAACTAAAAAAGTTTGTGCGGTTTTTTATATTACACAAGTACAGAAATTTTCATAAAATATTTTATTCATTAAAATAATCATCCTTTACAATCAATAATCTCATTTTCCAACAATATATATATGTATATATAAATTTATAAATACATATACATGTTTTATATAAAACATTGCTTCAGAATTATCCTCTGCTTCAATAAACTCCCTTTATTTGTTTTATTTCAAAATTGTCTATTTGAAGTGTGATTGTACATTTTTTTATCTAATCTTCTCTAAATTCCTTACATATATTTATATTTTACAAGAAGTTTTTACAATTTTTGAATCGAGTTTATATTAATAAAGTAAACAAATTCGAATTATACACCAAATTCAACTAATATTTTAAAAGGCTTCAAATTCATAAAAAAAATTTATGACGTGCATAAAAATTTGCGCTTTGCAAATCTTTCTCACTACAAAATGTAATTATTTTTTTACACTGATCTCTATCGAAAAGTACACGAACTTTTTTAGTTATCTACATACATATAAGTATAATTATAACATTATATTTAAAAATATGTTATATTATAGAGTCTGTAAAAAATCTATTTTTATTGAAAAAAATGTCTAACATTTCCAATATAAGATTGAATTAAAGAAAAGTCTCCGAAATTCTTCCCTCGCTTTCTACCGTAAAGAAAAGTTGACACGTGTCCCGACCTGTTGATAAGCACTTGAGCAGCAGGAGATATGGTAATGTCTTGTCCAGCCTAATCACTCCTGCGGCACTAGTACTTAGGAACAGGACAGAACTTAATCTTCCCATTCCTTTTTAAAGCTTCAAGGATTGATCCTCGACACCTTCTGCAAATAAAACATATATAATGCATCTCGAGTAGCAAACTGACGTCATTAAAAGTCAAAATAACGCCATTTTCTAATGACGTCATTTTGACGTCTAATGAGGTCAGTTTGTTACTTGAGATAACAATAAACAATATAAATGATAAAACAGAAAAGATTAATTAAGATTTATAAAACTTCGAATTTATTATTTAAAATTTGATTAGAATTTGGAGTAAAAATATATTATATATATACATATAATAAGAAATAAATATATATATAATTATTGTACATTTATAAAATATATATAAAATCGAATATGAATTTTTTATCGAATTCTTAAAGATCGTTATTCAGCATTTTTTTGTAAAAATAAAAAAATATTCATAAAAAAATATAAAATATAGTATATAATATAATAATTTTTAAAATTTCTTTAAAAATAAAATATAACGCATATATTCAATACACACACACACACACAATCTCGCATTGCTTTTTCCATCAAAATCTCTTTTGACAATTTTATACATACGGCAATAACGGAATACCCTATATATAGATTTTTTTAAATAATGAAAGGAAAGCATATCACGCAACATGTATTACTGAGTTTCTTCGCCAATTATCTAATCTCGCCAAATATTACCGACAATATGTGGACTTATTAGGATTAATTAGGATTTCCTGCGTCTCTCTGATTATCGTCTTTACTTAAAATAAACATTATAACAATAACATATATATAAACATTATAATATTTTATATTTACGACATAAATTTATATCTCAATATTTTAATAATAATAGTATATATATAAAATAATAAAAGGTAACTTTTTAAAGTAAAAACGATAAAAATAATATTAATTAATAAAATTAGAAAAAAAATAAAATAAAAATATAATCTCTTACCATAGGAAAATAATCTATTTTATTAAGAAAATTATTATTCGCAATACACCCGGTATATAGCGATGATGCAACGATGGACAGAGTCGTATTTTATTGAAATAACCTCGAGAGGTCATTAAAGAGTTGCCTACTGTGTATTCCTCTTTTCTTCTCAAGTCCTTCCTTTTCTCTTTCACCCTCATTGCTTTCAAACATATTAAAGTTATTATGTTCTCTCTGATCTAAATACAAGCTATTTTGTTGCAAATTATCTTTAAATCTTCATATCCCTTTTTTTAATCTTCTGAATAATATATTAAATTTGTAATATCTATAAAATAATAGAATAACATATATATAAATATATTTTTTAAAGAGATAAAATATAAATAAGCTATACAATGTAAAGTATATAATATAACATGTATACTATCACAAAATTAAGTGTTTTTTTTTTAATTTGTGTATTTTCTTACGAACAGAATAGAAAATAAATGCAAAACTCATATTATTGTAAAAATGGAAGAGCGAAGGAAAAATTTAATTAAATTTTTTATATCTCTGCTTGACAAATTTTTATTTTTTGTTTTATTAATAATTGTTCATTGATATAACTTAACAAGAAAAAATTATGTGATAGAATTATAATTTCAATAAAAGTTTTCAGTTTTTAAAACATATCTACATAATAGAACATATATATATATATATATATATATATATATATATATATATATATATATAATGCAACTGTTAATAAAGCAATACATGCTATGTTGCTTATTATCTTTTTACGTCGTTCGGATTAAATTCTAATTATTTGCTAAAGAGGATTAGAAATAATTGCTGTTGCAGATTTGCAATGTACAGCATGTCATATGCATTATATATACACATATACACACATTTAGGAGAATTAAAAATACAAAAAAATGTCCAGAAATGTGAACGATTTTATTTAATTTCATGATTTAATTGATTTAATTTAATCTTAACATAACTATTTAATTATTAAGAGTTTTCTTTCTTGTTTTTTTCTATTTAAACATTTTTTGTTCGGCACATTTTTTTTATAAAAATTTTTATTTTTAATTTATTGAATATTAGTGAGATACTCTTATAGACGAAATAATTAGTTTTTTTTTTGTTAGAGATAGCCCAAAATGCGAAAGATGTTAAAAGAATTAATAATAAAATAAAATAAGAAGCATTTAACAATATGATACTATAATATTTAAATACATTTAAAAGCTCTGATAAAAAAGATGTGATGAATGTGTGCTCTGATAAAAGAAGAGAAATAAAATCTACTAAGTATTATAAAATAAAATAAAATATGAAAAGAATGACTGCTACAGAAATATAAATTTTATTTTTTACTACTTAATAAATTGATTAATTGATTGCACAATAATTGTAATTTTTATTAATTTTAAGTTAATACTTAACTTCTAATTTTTTATTTCTTATCTTAAATGCTTTATTATTTAAAAATAATTTAAT